CCTTCTGGATTTGGGCCACCCAGAATGAAAAGACTCTCCCATCTCCTTTCATCTACCTCCCTCTGTCAGGTGGGGTGAAGGAGGGAGGATAAATAAACCACTCTGCTTCCTTTCCCTGTTAACCTGCCAAGTCCTAAAAGTGCTCCGTGCTGGGGAGCCCCCCACAAGATGTCACCGTGTGACCTGCAGCGTGACTCTGTAAGGCGATCACTTACAAAAAAGCCCAAACATCTGAGTAGGGAACTTGAAAGGCAGGATGTGAACCGGCCTCTGCTCCCAGGCCTGTGCATTCACCACACCTGCAGTTCCAGGGACAGGTCTGGAGGGACCCACTGGCTAAGAGCTCCCTGACTCCCCAGCTCCCTGTGGCAGCACCATCGCTGCTGCAAGTCTCCCAGCACCTTTCCAGGGGAGGACACTGTGGCTCTGGGTCTTAGTTCCCTGCCTGAATGTGGAGAGAATACCTGCTGTTACTCATTTTAAGAATTGCAGCCAAGTCTCTTCCCCACCGCCCAAGGAGTGTCAAACAGCGTCAATTTATTTAGACATTTCCCTTCTGAGTGAGTCAAAGGAAAATGTTTCCCATTTTTAGTTGAGTAGCTTAACATTTTACATTTCCTTTTTGTTCTTGCAAGTTGCATCACATGCTTTCCCTCCCATTTCTGATTCCCAGGTCTAGACTTTTGTTCTTATCTTTCTGGGAACTCAAGTTTCCTTGCGGTGAGGGGACATTCCCACCGCACAGCATTCTGGCACCAGCTCGCCCCCTTCTTCCTCTGTGGCTGGAGTTTGTCCTTGTGTTTCTCAGACAGACTTGCCGCGGACCTAGAAGGTTCCTGCATACCTCAAACTGTGTGGCCTCAGCTTTTACTGTTAAAGCGATTTGCTTTGGGCCACTAACCCACGTCCCAGCCTCAATTTCCTTCTCTCTTCATAGAAGTTGAAAAAACTGAGGCGCTAACCTGGGGCTCCATGAACTCTGAGGGAGTCTGGGGGGTGGATGGGGGAATTCAAGTGTGAGTCTCTTGAAACTTTATGAAGTTTGTGTGTGCTATCCTCTTCGCCAAACGACTGGCCAAGAGTCCTTATATTCCCAAAGCTTCCATGACTGAAAAAAACCTGCCATTCATTGGAGTAGATCTTTAAAGATTCTTTTACATTCAGAAATTGTACGAGGCTCTTTCACCAGCTATTGGAACTCTTAAAAACGAGGGTTAGCCAGCCAGCGCTCAGCGCTGCTGTCTTGGGGAAGCCCGGAAAATACTTGGTGACACTAGCAATGGAGATTTCCAAGGTAATTTCACTGTACTTTCCCGATTCGATCGTTTTAAAACCTCTTGACCCAAATTACATCCAAGAATTTGATGTTAATTCTGGATTCACTGGCACTGTACAGATGCATACATACCCGCCTTTGTCCAGCTATTTAATGTGTCCTTCAAGAAAACCAACAAAAATCCTCATTTTTCAATAGTGAAGGTTTGCAGTCACGATCTCTGTTCCCTATATTTAAAATTCTTTCTCCTTTACGCTGAAAGCCACACAGAATTTTTACCTAATCACAGAATACCAAAGCCAAAGGAATTCTGCTCCTCTTGTCTGAGTCTTTTGTTTCATGGAGGGGAAAGCTGCCAGACAAGGGAAATGACTCATCCAAAGACACTGGGCAGGCAGTGCTGGGGCTTCCCACAGAGCCTCCCTGAGTGTTGCCCTCAGGCTCTCCTGGACCTCTCACCCCTGCTGGCCGGCTGTTTGAGAAAACATCTAAAAACAAGAGCTACCAATGTGCTAAGTCAGCGGAGAGGGTTGGGGGCGGGGAGGCTGGCCAGGTGACTAAGGGGAAGGGTTCAAGCAGGGGCCTGCTCAGGCAGGGAGCCTCAGCAGCCGGGTCCCAAGGTAATCGAATGCCAGGAAGAAGGTAGACAGTGAGAGGCCCCTCCAGCACTCTGCTCCCAGCTGCTGCTCCAGAGCCCCTGGTCCTCTCCTGCAGACACCTGACCTCTCTGCAGGACTGGAACTGGGCATTGCCCTTCACACTCCCACCTCTGGGCCTCTGCTGTGGAGTTTGCCTCCTTGAACGCTGCACCTGCCTCCTTGAATGCTGCACCGTGCTGTAGCGTCTTTAAGCTGTAGATCAAATGCCACCTTCTCACTTTCCAGGTCACCGCCTTCCCCTCCTATTGCTTATGTTTCTCTATCCCCAGCCTCCAGAGTGAACTGTTTGTGCCTCTGTCCCTGTTTGTGCTGTAATTCCTTATGAACTTGTCTTACCCCCTCAATGCAGATCATTCTCCTTCAGATGGGTCTGTCCTTTTTTCTTTCACTCAACAAATATTTACTGAGTGCCTCCCATACAAAACTGTCACAGCACGGAACCCCTGGGCACTCACACTCTAACCGTGACCAGGCAACACAGAGGGAAGGGCTGAGGCGAGCCCCCAGGCCAGGTGCAGGGTGCGGCAGCTCAGCCCGGCACCCTCTCTAGTCTTGCTGGCAGAGGAGGAAGTCAGGGAAGGATTCAGGGGGAAGGGACATCAAGTGGGGAGTGAAGGACAGGCGGGGGTCATCTGGCCAAGCAAGCAGGGAGGACTGGAAGAGGAGGACGGCACCTGCTCCAGTTCCTGGAGTGGGCAGGGGAAGGGGCCTGGCAGGGGCGCCACTCAGTGTCCAGCTCTGACAGGGAACAATGTCAGTGGCCGCGGCCTGGGTACCCATGACGGGTGGTGGTGGGGGCGGGGGCTTGAGCTGGAAGAGCAGGAGGAAGGGAGGGGACAGGAAGTGGTGCTCAGGGCTGGGAGCCCACTGAGAAAGGAAGGCCAGTTTTCAGCAGGCCTGGCTTTCCGTGCTGTCAGCTCCTCCCTCCTATCCTGTGCTAGGGAGGGAAATAGCCCCTGGCCTCAGTGGAGCTGGGTAGCGGGGCACTTCCTGAGCACACCGGCTCTGGAACAGGCCACCGTGGCTGGTGACTCACTGCTGACAATAACGAGGTCTCCAGGCGCTGTGGGCCTAGGAGGACTTTTATGGAAGTCTTCCCATGTCAGAGACATTTAATTCTTTTTAGCCACGTTGATGGCCTTTCCCTTCCAACTATTCTTTCCTTAGCTGGACACACCCTCTTCCTCCTCACAGGACACATTCCAGAAACACCTGCTCAGAGGCAGGCCCAGCCCTCCCCTGGTGGTGCTGTTTTTCCTCAGACCCACACTGGGGCCAGTGCACAGAGCCTGCTCCCCTCTACCATACCTGTCTGCATAACCTAAATAGCCTCATTAAATCCTTACAACTGCCCCGGGAGGAGGGACTATTTCCACTGCTTCTTGGCACTTGGGAAAATGGCTAAGGAGGTTCAGTACTTCCTAGCTCGAGGCAAAGTACAATTATTTATCATTGTCCCACGCTGCCTTCCTCTGCAGCCATTGCTCTTCTCCCCCCTACAGCCCCCCAACTGTAGGGCCGGAGTTGGATATTTGGCCTATGCTCCGGGGCCTCCAAGCTGCCTCTAGGACTGCAGCCTGGACACTGCTGTCCCCCAGTCCATTGGACACAGGCCTCCAGGCCTTGTATCAATATTTGTTGAGTGAATGAAACTTTAAAGGAACACTGAGGATCAGCACAGTCTATTTTAGGGACTAAACAGAGCACACACTCAATAAATGGTTGGAAGACAGAAAAATTCCAACTGGAACTAGAGACATTCTGGAATGTTCTGTTCTAAAAGCAGCTCTAGTTCACCCAAGATGGCGGCTCCCTGCCTCCCACTGACAGCGCAGACTGCCCCACCCCAGCTCCTCTGTCTATCACTTTACACAGTACTGCTTTGTGGGGTCCTCTCAACCACTCCATGAAGCAGGAGTTATCACCTTTACTTTTCAGATGAGAAAGCCAGAGAGTAGAGAGGAAGTCACTCCCAAGTCAGTGGACAGTGAGAGGCGAGCAGGGCTTCAAATCTATTAACTGCAGAGAAGCTACCCAAAGTCCTTGATTTGGGTGATATTCAATGGCAGAATTAACATTAGAACCATGATCTAAATAGCCAAATTGATCGCGCCCACCAAATTTTCAGATCTCGGGCCCTCCCTGGTGGCGCAACAGGTTAAAGTGCAGCACTATGAAGGGATCAGCAGCCACTGCAGCAGGAATTCGATCCCTGGCCAGGGAGCTGACCCACAGGGCACAGCAGACCTGTCCTGACCGCCCGCTGCTCCCCTCAGCAGTGTACTTCAACAATCTGCCTGTTCTGCTCCCCATTCTGTCTCTGGGGAATCCTCTCAGCCCCCGCACCTCTGGCCTGTACCCCAGTTCTTGTATACATAAGTAAATAAACCTTTAAAAAAAATTTTTTTTTGAGACCTCAAAATACCCTCTGGCCACCCTGGTCCAAATTCTGAAATCTATGCAGGTGACCCAAAGAGCAAAGTTCGGGGAGCCGCCTGAGGACCCAGAGTGCCCTCTGAGCCTCTGTATCAGACAGGCCCCAGGGCTGGGATTGCAGGCTTCTCCCAGAACCAAAAAACACTTGCTCATCAGCAAGCAAAGTCTTCACATTCCCACACAAACACAAGACAGGACAAAGGGCTGGCAGAGCTGAGCACTGGCAGAGCACTATGGGTTATGGACACAAAGTGCATCTCACACAAAACCAAACCACAGAGAGCCAACCACAGCCTGTGTCCTAGCTGGTTAGTCAGAGCAAGTGGGGGCCACCTCTAGGCCACGCGCGGGCCTGAGGAAGGCCTTCCTCCTAAGGAGCTCCCGTGCCAGGCTAGGAGATACTCAAAGTATCTCAAATGTGACAACAGTCTTTTGCCTGCAACTATCCCCGGCCCTAACACTTTAATCAGTGACCTCTGTTCACGCCCGTAATTTTGGGGTTCTCCAGTATTGTTGCTCCCAAAGCAAGCACATGGGTCTCACTGGTGTCCACTTGGCTTCAGCAGAGGGACCTTGGTGAGACGGCCGGCCCCCCAGCCAAGGCACACACAGGCATGCTGCAGGCCTACCTGGCTCACACCACTCCGAGCGGCCTTCCTCTCAGCCTGCTCACCACTTCTATGACTTCTACGCGGCTCTGTCTGCTCAGCCTCCCTTCCCGGAAAGGGGCCACCCAGGGACTTGCGGGGCTGGCTCTCCTCGGGGGTGTGGAGCTCTGAGAGTCTCTGTTCCGTGCTCAGGCACCTGACCACGTCTGATGGTTTCAAGCAGCTCTTCTTAGAGATCCTGGGTCCACCCGGGCGTCTCTCACCTGCCTCTCTCTCCGCTTTCCTCTCAGACTGCCCGCTCTCTTCTCGCCACGGCTGCCTCTTCCCCTGGCTGCTGAAGGCACTGCTGAGCTCTGAGATGACCCTGTCAGAGCTCCCGAGTGGCGGCTGGGAAAAGCTATCCTGGTGGGCACGGAAAGGTGGCCCCAGGGTCCCACTGTCCCCATTGACGTGAAGGGAAGCCGGGGTACTGGGTGCCAGGGGGTAGGCTTGGTCTGGGGGAGGTAGGGCCAGTGGAGAAACTGCAGAGTGAGGGGTGGATTGATCCGACCAGCTCACATGGGGAAGGCTGAGGGACAGGGAGGGGCTGGACCTCCCCAACAGGGCCAGGTGGTCAGTGTTGTAGATAGACGCCTCGGGCAGAGGAGGCAAGGGTGGGGTCAGGGCCAGAGAACGTCGGCCTGGGACCCCCACTGTCAGTGAGATCCACTCAGAGGTGACAGCGTGCATCTCGGGGGACAGAGCTCGGTGGGAGGGAGGCAGAGATGAGGGGGCTGGCATGATGAGCTTGCTGTGACTAGGAAACTTCAAAAGGGAAGGAGGAAAACAAAAGAAAGAAGCAAAAGGTACAAGGGTCAGCATAAAGAAGAAAGAAGGACATCATCGAGAGGGCGTATAAAGTGGGATGAGTGGAGAGAGCGGGCAGGACACGCTGGTGTCCACACAAGAAGTCTCTTGGTTAGGTCTGGAGAGAAAAGGGACATGGAAGGGTGTGTGCACGATGCGTGCAGGCGGTGGGGGGTGAGGGAGGCAAGCGGCATGGAGATGGGGGCAGGACCCACCAGGGCAGTCAGGGATGGCGCCCGCTGGCTTGCGGCACTGTCAAAGGGACAGGAGAGAACGCCCCACCCAGCACCGCCCAGCCACCAGCGCAACCCGGCTCTGCGCCAGACCCGGAGGGGAAAAGGTGGCCTGCCACTGGCCTGGCTCTTCCTGGGACTTCATTCTCTCCAGGGGGCGCGGCCCAGAGCCTTCCCGAGAGGAAAGGGTAGTCATCTCACTAATTTTCAGCTATGCAAAAAGCCTCCCCTCCCCTCCCACCCCCATCGTTATAAAGCAGGACGCCCTGCACCAACTTCACACCCTCTCCCAGGAAATCCCAGGAGCTCCAGTTCCCTGAGCAGGACGTCCTGGGTCAGCCCCGCTGAGGCTTTCTGCCCAGAACTTCCTCAGGGGTCAGGGATGAGCAGGTGACAGAGGGGGAAAGGATTAGAGGATGACAGCTAGAGGCGCCACCCAGTGTGTGGTCTGCGATTCTCCTGCACCTGGCCATCTCCCTCCCACTCACCACGGCAGGAAGACGGTTTCTTTCATTGCTCCCTTCATCCCCTGGCCCTTCCCCGCACGGGCTCTAATGCCTCTCCTGAGCCAAACAGCTCTTCTGAGCCCAACGAATTTTTTCTTGGCTTTGGGACATGGGGAGGGATTCGGAATACTTTGTAACTTAGAACAAGTTTGCTCATAGTCGACATTCAGAACAAGTGTTCTAAGTTCCCTTTCCAACTTGGTTTCTTTGCAAAGAATATGATGGATCTTTATTTCCTGCAGCTCAACCCTGACCAACAAGGTGGTCAAGAGGACCACACTGGGCCATGGTAGGTGACAGACTGTGAGGGCTCCCGACCACCAGCTTCACCCAGGATGAGATGATCTCAGTGGGGGGTCTTGGCCATCTGAAAAAGGTTCTTACCTCATTCTTTAGCTCTCTTATTTCCAAACAGTCACCTTCAGTTCTTCCTTTTCCCCTGGGATTGTATTTTCCCCACCAAGTACTCAGAAAATGCCATTGTTATACATGGAAACATACCCCGCTGCGGACACCCTGTTGCTGTGGATGGGCTCAGACACAGGGCTGAGAACTGCCCCAGAGAGGCCGTGCGCAGCCATGCGCCATCGGCCCGAGTATGAAAACAGTGATGAGAAGCTGAGGTACCTGTGGGCTGGCGGTGGCGCTACGACTCGGGGAGGAGTAAGGCAAGTCAATGTACTCCACGGGGTTCTTCACCAGTGGCCGCTTGAGCACGTCCACGTAAGTGATGGGGAAGATGCCTTGCCGCGACGTCCCTGGGATCCTCCCTTCGTACCAGTTCTCGTCCACCTGGCGAAGCAGCGTGATCCTCTCACCCTGAAAGACAAGCCAGACAAGGGTGCTGTCCTGTCATGCCTCAGCCTATGCCAAGCTCTACCTGTCCCTGAAGGGTCCACACTGTTTGCTGAGAGAAACCTTCCCTGCTAGAACCAGGATGGAATTAGTACCACTGGGATGTAGAGCTACCTGGATGCAGAGAGTTAAGCTTGGTCTTTAAATATTTCTGCAAAGGAGAAGGTCAGGCTCACTACTCCCCACTCCCAAGCTAGCAAGCAAATGTAATGTTTTTGGTTCATTTAACGTACATAAACAAATGTTCAACTTTTTTCTCCAAGGCAAAGGCTTTTGGGGTTATCATTTTTCTTCCTTTCTAAATACCACCCCCATCCCATATCATCATGGAAAAAAGCCAAACACAAACAAAACAGAAAATAATTGCTACCCATAACATTACCAATTGGGGACAATTTTTATTACGTGTACCTCAATTCTCTGAATTTGACTTACATGAAAACTGAGTATGAAATAACATTTCCTTCTTCCAACTTGCTTTTTCATACTTAACAACATGGTGAGCCTCCTTTATCAACAAGTAGAATTCTACAAGTGTGATAGTGTTGCATAGCTGAATGGAGAGTCTACATTACATAATGATTTAATTACTAATCTCCTGATACCAGGCAATTAGCTTGCTTGCAGTGTTTCATTCTCAATCCTATATACAATTCAGCAAGCCAGAGAATTCTGACATGTAAACAGCGTGAACTCCTGGGGGAGAACTATGTCTACGTAGCTTAATTATTCAAAATATGCACGCTGAGCTCCTGACGGCAGTGACGAGGATGACAGCACCGGTATCTCCTGTCAGCTGAGCACCAGCTGGATCCCGAGTGCATGCTGGGGCGTCACACTTGTTTGACTTAATCCTCTGCCAAGAGCTTTGGGAGAGGGACACTTATCACATATGATATGTAAGCATACCACATATACCAGGTAGCAGGAAACGGAAGCTCAGAAAAAATTATTTAACCCTCCAAAAGCTGCACAGCTGATAACCTGTCACTTTTGTCTTGAAAGCTTTTTAAACTTCTGGTGTCCAAGAACTAGCTTTCCCCCACTGGGCTGACACGGTGCCTGTCACGTCATTAGGTGCCAAATCAGATGCTGGTTGGACATGGTTTATAAAAAGAGATGTAAGATTCCAGAAATGCTGCCTCACACCAGTGAGAAGACAGTTAAACCCTGACACCACCTACTGCCTCTGATGCTGTCCTTGGCTGGGCCCACACCACTGCCAGCCTGGCACACTGCAAAGACCCCCCCAGGGCCCCTCACGGGGGAGGACAGGGCGGCTCACCTTTCTGAAGGACATTTCTACTTGCGTGTCGCCATTAAAGTTAAACTTGGCAATAGCTTCTCCGTATTCCAAAACTTGCACTGGTGCGAGCTTTTTGGGCTGAGCCTTCTCAGCAGGAGGGAGAAGCTAAAACAGGAAAAGAGGCAGGAGGGCGAGAAGGAAGTGGGAAAAAGAGAGACCAGGAGAAACAAACACAGCACTCAGTCAATGAAGGGCGCTCTGGGCAGCCTGGACTCTTCCTCAGAGTGAAGGGGGGGGCGGTACCTCGATGTAGGAGCGTGGGAAGATGCCCACCCGGCCGTGGTGCTCTCCTTCATACCAGTTCTGGTCGATCTGCTTATAAATGTAAACGATGTCTCCCTTCTGTAGAGGAAGCTCCCTGTGGATAGGGTGACGGCACCTTAGCAGATGTTTCAACATCAAGATACTCAGATTTTTTTTTTTTTTTAGCAAAAGGTCATTTTGAGTGAGGTCAAAGGGGGACAAATTACAGAAGCAGGGGGCTCCGGAGTTGGAAGTGAGAATCCCACTCTTCAGGAAATGACACCATGGCGGCATGTTTCCAGTCTTTTGTGGGCTACAATGGCAACCTTTGAGCTGACTAGTACTTGCAAGTGCTAATAAGCAGGGCTGCTAGTCTGCTGTGGTTTCCTCGAGGGATCTGCGAGGGACAGCTTATGTTCCCCTACTTACTGAACATATAGCTGTGCACCCGGCGGTCTAGTTGATGGATGAAAGAATGAAATACACTTTACAGATCCCTTCACTACCTTGATGATACTCTTCTGCATCCTAGCAAGCCATGCCATTAGAGCTTTAAATGACACTCAAATTACTTTTGACATCTCCTCTTGTCCGCTCACCTGCCTACTTGGCTGCCTGTCTATCATCATGCAGTGGAAAGGCCCCGAAATGAGGCAGGTCTGAGTTCAACCACTTCCTCGCTCTGGACAAACTACATGCTCTCTGGTCTACTTTATCTGAAAATAGGAGTCAACGCAGAGATGTTGAAGTTAGCAGCAGACTACTGAGAAAACACCTAGCCTGATTCCTGCTATCTAATTCACAGTAATGTGAATTCATTTCCTTTTCAACATGGGAAAGGGACGTTGGATAGAAAACTGGATTTTCCTTCAAATATTTACCCTTTTTATTCAACTTTTCCATATTTACCTTTTTTGTGTTAATTATGTTAATGTCTAACAACCAGGACCTCCTTGTTAGAAATAATGCGTAAAGGATAAATGATAGTCAAAATAAAAAGTTTTAAGGAGGAAAAAAAATTGCAATTTGAGATTTTCTTGAGTAAAAAACCAAACACAAAAATCCAATCTGATCTTTTCCGTTGGTGTGAAACCAACAGCATGTTAAACCAGGTCTCCGGCGGATGGGGCAGGCATGTGCCAGCTTGGCAGTGTGCCAGAAGCCCCAGGGTATGTGAAGGGCACTGCCGTCACGACAGGCACATCTGGAAAACTTTACACAAAGTCAGCACTGTGCCGAGTGCAAGAACAAGGCAGCCTTGTGGGTCTGGCATTGGTAGATAGGATTCTAATCCTCACCAGGCCCACCAAGGAGATCTGGGCATTTGTTTCTATAGAAGGAATGATTTTGGCCAATTTTTTGCCACAACCATCCTTGGACACATGGATGAACAAGATCCTTGGCATATCCACCCTTGCTGGAGATCTGCAGACTCCAATCTGTGACCCCCACATGGCTTCAGATACAGAGATAGGAGATACCAGATAGACACAGGGAGGTAGAGAGGAGCTCAGCTCACAGAGAGAGGTCTATAATGGTGGCCAAAGGAGAGGTACCACAGGGTGCCTGGGGTTGTTATTCCCCTCACCCTACCCTCCCTGCACTGTGGACCATACCCACACCCCACACAAGAGCCACATGACAAGGTCTGGTGGAACCAAGTTTTGAGAAATGATCTACTCTAGATCTTTCCTGGAGTGTCACCATTCATGTTAGCACAGTAGAAGCTCAAAGAAGTTTGTGGGAAAGAAACCTGTTGAACTGTTGAATTGTGTCCTCTCAAAGATCATTTTTTTGAGTAACATACTATGAGGGAAAAATTGAACCCGGTGATTGAAACTCTTTTAAGGATTCAGATTCTATGGATCTGTCATTTACTAAGATACATTGTTTTTTTGAAGGCAATGAGATATAATGAAAACACTGATTCAGGAGAAAAGAACTCTCCAGCATTAGCGATATAGAGGGATAGGGACAAGTTCTGTCTCAGCTTTCTTGCCTGCTCTACTTGACAGGGCCACTAGCAAGAAAAAAAGTTGTATCATTCTTCTATGAAATACAGGTAAATGTAGTATCACAAAACCACCCAGTTCATATTGCATGAACCTTTCTCAATTTAGACAAAAAGGGGAAAAAACATCTGCTTGATTAAACTAAAAAGGAACTTATGCAATTAAAAAGGGTGGATTGCTAACTTTTGCTACATTGTGCAAAGTGCTTTACCACTATAACCTAGGCTGACCTGCAAGCTAGGCATTTTATGTCCATTTCACAGACCATGGAATTTGAGGTGGGAGAGGCTGGGGACATGGCTGTGGTCACAAAGACAATATGGAGATTGCTCAGGATTCAAGCCAGCATACCTACCCTTGCTGGAGACCTAGCGTCCTGTTATTTCCAGCACATTATGCCATCACCTCTTGTTGTGAGCTAAAGGACTGGAATAAGTGCACCAGGGATGTTCTTGGGCTCTGGAAATCCTGGTCAGTCACTCCTTGTGTTAGGGGAGATTGGAATCACAGTTGAGCCACCTCTACACGGCACTTCCCAGCAACCAAGGGTGGGGAGCTTTCCCTCTCATTCCTTTCATTTCCATACACGAGGCCTCCCATCAGCAGGACAACAGGGCAGCTGCTGGTCACTGATGCCAACCAAAACTCATGGTCCATTTATTTCCTAATAGGTATGAAGTGACCACTTCCGTTTAGCTCTCAATCCTGGGTAGTGTTTTCCTAAATTCTATTCCATGTAAAACATAAAGGTTTCCTGGTCATGTAAATTCAAGGTAACACTGGGTTAAATGAGTTAATCAGGTGTCCTCATTGTAAGCCCTCCAGAGCCATCGATTTGCTCGCAGCAAGTGACTTCTTCAAGGAGGGCAGTGGGTACCAACATAGAATGCGGTGATTCCCAGGCTTGTTTATATGACGGGGCATGCTTTGTGAGAGATATTGAATGGACGTAGCACTCTGAGGAACACATTTAGAGAAATGTTGGGTTCCTGTGGGTGGGGTCTTACAAAGCTTTCAATCTCTTGGGAGATTGTAGCAAAACTGGTGAAGTTGTCTTCCTACAGGCCGCTCTGACTCCTTCCATGGAAAGGTGGGTCATATTAGCCACACTTCATCAAGTAAACCGAGTCCCTGTGCAAAGAGCCCAGGCTCTAGCCCGAGTGCCTGGGTCACTCCCCCAGCCTCAATGATCAGTTTGGGCCTTGTAAACCGTCTATTTCCCCCATTTGTACAGAGATTATTAAAACAGTACCATCCTCATAGGGCTACATGTGATGTATTTGCTGTGTAGCATATGCTTTTTTAAAAAAAAATTATTGCTGTTTCTCTAACTCTTCTCTACAAGCAAACTTCTGTGTTTCAAAGGCAGTTAAAATGACAAAGGTGACTGGCGGTACTTACTTTAGTGTCTGAGCTTTAAAGTCAAATTTGGCTCTGGCAGGTCTCATCTAAACAAGAAGCAACAGTAAGTTAAACTCATGATTCACGTACAACAAAAAGGACACAGTTTCGCATGTTTCCAGAAAGCAAAGCAGAAAAGTTCACTCTAACCAGTTCGTTCTGCTGTAGAAATCTGGGCAAAATTCCACTATCTGTCCTTAGCAGAACACAGGGCGGATGTTTGGTCAACTATGTCATACACAAAAGTCTCCTTAAGGAGGGGCAGATTTGGGAAGAGATGGCTAGAAAAGTCCCAGATTTAGTTCCCCAAGGCTGACCATGGCTATTAAAGAAAACCAGAGTTGGCCAGGAGTTCTAAGACGTTCCTTATCTGCTGTCTCCCTCTGAGGGGGAGCACCTTCTATATTCCTGACTGAAATTATGAGGAAACCCTGATTCACCTCTCACATCATCTCAACTCCATGTATTTCTCACAGCTTGTGAGATCATGAAGAGCCTGATAAAGTGAGGTCTGAGCTCATTTTCTCTCCATGGCTTCCCTTCCTGTTGAGTAGCCGTCTCTTTTCAGACCCCAAGGCCTGGAAGCCATCCTCAGCCAGAGTTCCCACTTCTTCATCAAGTCTGCTTTTAAGACAAGACGTCATTACACAACCCTGCTCAGGTCTGAACTATGGTCTCTACAAGCACAAAGCTTCTTTTGTGAGACTTTTCTCTCTTCACTTTAATCTACTGTCACCCAGGAGCACAGACAGCATTCCTCAAATACTTCTGTCACATCACTTCCTTGCTCTGAAATTGGCTGAGGCTCTCAATTGTCCCTCAGATCAAATCTCAATACCTGACATGGGTTAAGGTAGTTTCCCCACTCATAGCTAACTGCTTTTAATCTCCTATTACACTCTTCCTGTTCCAGTCAGGCAACTACTTGTTATACTTTATCTACACCTCCTTTGGAATTTCTTCACCTCTAATTCCAGCAATAAGTTCACTCTTCCTTAACATATTTACTTGTATATCTTTCTTTTTCCAAAAAAGTAGTTGTTTTATCTACTTTGTGGTTGATTTTTAAACAAAGGGGAGAAATTATGTGAGCAAGCTGTTAATGGCAGCAGTATCATTCTGCCCTGCACAGCTCTAATATTTTTAACTGCTGTGACTTTCTGGTCTAGGGAGACAGTGTGATGAAAATTAAGTCGCACACTTCCCCTGCAATATTAGAGGGTATGAACAAAGTGGAGGGAGAAAATGGGAGACTCTAGGCAAGGAAAAAATGGTATTTAAAAGCTTTATCAATGTTAGTTTTAAATTTACTCCCTCAGGGATATGCCCATTTCTCCAAGCTCCTCAAACTGGATGGGGTTTTCTAGGGACCTTTTGCAGGGCCATGAATTCTCCACAGGAATTTTTTATTTCTGCAGATTTACGTTGATGCTACCATCTAGCCGTCTGTCTACGCTTCCACGGCAGCTGAGAGGCCAACTGAGTGCCTCCATGCCACACAATGTCAATGCCACCTTTGGGGCTATTTAATACTTTAATAATTGAAGGCAAATTAAGAAGAGGACAGACGGGGGAATGATCGCCGATGAGTTCACGAGAGGAGGTCAAATGACCAAAATTTTACGGACAAAAGTTGCAGTGGCTCCAATAAAAAGTGGCTGTTGCCCACTGGCAGTCAGCTATCAAACTGTGTGAAGTTGGCACGATTTATGCCCAAACAGCACCACAGTCACATTTACGTGGTAACTGAGTTCAAGTAAACTGATACCACTTATCAATTACTGTAACTATCTTTATGAGGTGTAATTTAACTTATAAACTGGCTTAGGTCAACACTGAAGAGAATCTTCACATTATTCAAGGCTTAGAGACACTGAGCACACAGACTCTTACCCGTTAGGAGAGCCATCACTGCTTACACAAAGCATCTTCTCTCTCTCTCTCTCTCTCTCTCTCTCTCTCTCTC